ACTCGTAAAACTATGCATTGAACATCCCTGAAACTTATATAGCAAATACATTAAGCAATATTCGCCACAAATTGAAGTCCACTCATTCTGAATCCTATCAACATTCCAGTTCCATCTTTTACAATTCCTTTTTAAAAACTCTAGACGATATCGTACAGGTGATCGTCCATATGAATCAAAATATTGACCGACGTCATTCGTATCGATATATAAAGCTATCCAATGTGACCCTGGTTTATCATCTGTATCCAAATCGCATATTATATACGTTGGTACGTGGGTATACATGGGCAGTCTATTAGCAGCATAAATATTATTTTCTAGACTGGGGTGAATCTTTTTCAGATGTTGTTGTACATCTAGTGTATCCATGATATTACTGCTATTAGTAGATTCTATTTTTCCTCGGCGTATCCGTCGGCTTATCAGTGCTATTGTATTATACTTCTTTGTTCCTATCTACAACGCTAATCTGAATCATGAATAAAACACATTACCTAATTTTGTTACAATTTTTATTTACAAAATACAAAATCTTATTACTTTTTTTAATCTTATTTTTTAAAGAGGGTTTTATAAAATTATTATAATGTCACCCCCATTGTATTTACATATTTTTTATCTTCTTTTAAGTCCAACTTGGACCATTTTGTACAGCATTCTGGCTTCCCCAGATAATGGCAAGGCCAGAATACTGATACCGATATCTAATCTATTTATATTATATTTATTGCAAAAATTTGCTCTTTCAGCCTCGATTAGAACACACTCCACCAAAATATGTAATACATCTTCTGACTGACCACATTCTACACGGTTAGGGGATTCGGTCTTTCCCATCAAAAAAGCAAAGCTATTCATTGGTATGTGTCCCGATGGAAGTCTTAGAGCTGTAACAATATCGGCCCGGCCCATATTGGCCCTATGTACCCGTGAAGAACCGGTAATATTTGGTTGAATAGTTTCATACCATATTGCTTTTGTAAGAGATCTCTCATTAAAGTATTCCTTCCACAGACCGACACATCTTTCTTTCACCTTGTATAGAAAATCTGAAAAATAAGGTAAACAATGCAGTAAAATACCATCAGAGGAAGCTTCCTTTGCTAGTCTATCCGCCGCTTCATTACCTACTAGGCCAATATGAGCAGGAATCCACTGTAAAACAACAATTATATTTTTTTTAACTATTAATACACTTCAAAATACTTATAATACAAAATAGGCTATCGGTGTTCCTCAAAAATTCTAGGTACAACGAGCCAAGTGTTGCAGAGCACTCTTAGAGTCTGTCAAAATAACATACTGATATTTGTGTTTGAGTGATTTAATGTACGATACAGCTTCTGAAACTGCTATCAGTTAAGCATACATTGTAGAAACGTTTGAATTAATTTTGAATTTCATTGATATGTTTAACTGAGGGTCATAAAAAGCAGCTCCAATATTATTATTATTATCTTTAGATCCATCGGTATAAATTTTATAAGATTGCAAAAATTTGTCATCAATAAATTTTAAACTTATTTGTCTCAGAACCACATTGCTATAGTCGTGTTTAAGTTTATCAAGAGTCTCAATAAGAGAAAGTACAATACCAGAAAGATCCACATTGCTAACCCAGGTATCTAAGGAGAACATTTCAAGTTGCGTGGAGGTATGAATATTAGAGCTTTTAAGACAATTATGTACGACTGCCAACAGAGGTTTCTTTTTCTTACATGATGGATGAGTCACGAAATATTCGTCTAGCTTATCTAATACTATAATTAATTCATTATCTAAAAGTGATTTTGTTTTCAGCCAGAATTTTCCTGCAAGATAATACCTTCGTATATGTAACGGCTCAATACAAAGCTCATTTTCCATCACATGTATTGGCGTGCTTTTTAAAAATCCACCAATAACTCTCATAGCTTGATTTTGCAATCGTTCCATTTTTTAAGGTGCGTTACACTACTACTATCATAGAGGAAACAAGCATAATCACTTCTGCTTCTTATGATTGCGATATACAAACGATGCAAATGTGAATGATGTAGACCACACCCTGGCCCAGACAAATATTTAAGAATATTTAGAAACTTAAGCGTTTTTTCGGCAAGTTCATTTATATGTTTTCCCCATCTTAGACCACGATCCAACCATATATCTAAATATTTTATACTATCAACTACCTGTAAGGAAAAGCCATTAATTTTTAAGTCTATCAACTCACGTATAAATCCACAAGAGAACACACACACTTTACTTTTTATAGGAGACACATCTAGACCTATGTTGAAAAGCAGTGAGCTTACTAAATCCAATGCCTCTTGGAGATAGTCAACAGCTTCTAATAAATTTTTACGGCCCACGTATATAACAAAGTCATCTGCATATTGTGGTATGCGAACCTTTTGTACCTCTTTGCATATTTGTGTTGTAATTATGTTGAATAGCAATGGTGATAATGGGTCCCCCTGAGCCAATCCTCTACCTGTATTTCGGCAAATTATGGCATTGTTAACTTGAATCTTTAATAATCTTTGACTGAGAAAATTCCATAGGTAATTACATATAGCTGAACCTATACCAAAACGATCCATAGCCTGAATTACTCTAGTAATATCCACGTTATTGTATGCGTTATCTATATCTATAAAACAACCAATTGTAGCTATTCTACTTGTTAAGCCTAACTGAATTTCAGAAACCAGACTAGAAAGGTTATTTAACGTTGAACGACCTCTTCTAAAACCTTTTGTGTTATTCGATAAAATATTTTTTTTTCAATATACCATTCTAATCTGTTTTTAATAATAGTGTGAAAAATTTTACACATACATGAGATCATAGAGATGGGACGCAATGCTGAAACTAAACTATTATCTCTCCCTGGTTTAGGGATTGGCACAATTAATATATCTCTCCACTGATTAGGGACAAAATCACCCCATAAAAACGTATTATATTATAAATCAAGCAATAAGCATTTTCCATTATTTGGGAGATTTTTAATCATGGAATATGAAATATGGTCCATTTCTGGGGACGTGTCAGTAGGCCGAATACTCATTTCTAATTCATGTAATGAGATTTTGGTTTCTAATTTTTGATTAGTAGATAGAACAGCGGGTTTCATGGGGGAAACAAAATCAGGTGTCAAAGTATTAATCAATTCGGAAGCTAAATCCTTATCAATAAAATGGTTGTGAGCCCTGTAACCTTTCAACCATTTCATTTTACGCCACAAGTCATTTTGAGAGGCTGAATGATCAATGGTAGAACAAAACTCTAGCCAAGCGCTGTTTTTCGCTGTTCGTATTAATATTTGCGCTATATGAATTTTATCTTTTAGGATATCAAAATTCTGTGGAGTAGGCTTTCGTCTAAATTTTGATAGTGCCAACCGTCGTTCAGCAACTGCTTTAGATAGTGCAGAATTCCAATAGGGTAAAGGTTTAAATTCATTACTTGGGTCATGGTTGATTTTTATAGGAGGGATGTGCTCTTTAGCCGCTTCGTTAATGCATTCAATGAATAAATCATATGCGTTTTGTAGGTCTATAGGTAGTGATATACCTGAAAAATTCCTATGAAGCGCATCTTTGTACCCAATCCAGTCGGATTTCTTAAAATTTCTTCTTATAACCTTCATATTACTAGTTTTAATATTAATGGATATTTTAATTATTTGATTATCACTGCCTAAAGTTTCATTTATTATGGCCCAATCGAGTTTTAGAGCGATATCGGCAGATGAGAAAGAAATATCCGGGGAGTATTCCTGCAAGGTACCGTTAACTAACTTAATGCGCGTTGGTCCACCATTGTTTAATGTTATTAACGAGTCATCTATTAACGCGTCAAAAATCTGAACTCCTCTAGAATCTGTTTTCATTGACCAAGTATTATCGTGTGCATTGAAGTCGCCAAGTCAAATCGATTTTTTATTGATAAAAGATAGTAATTGATCCCAATCATTAACGGTTGTATGTACAGAAGGAGGACAATAAACATCCATAATGTTTTCAATATCAACACAATTGTAAACCTTTAAATAAAGAATCTCTATGCCCGAGTTAACTATTAGCATATTTTGTAAGCTACACTTAACTGCTTTGTGGGTAATCATTGCTACTCCACCGTAGGAATCGAAACGATCCCTACGGTGTATGTTATAGTTACTAATTTTTAATGGGCTGTCCTGCTCTAACCATGTTTCACTTAGAACCGCAATGTGAATCTTTTCCTGCGACAGTAACTGTTCAAATGCAACTAGCTTAGGTCTGATACTTTGACAATTCCACTGGATAATATTTATCTTAACATGTTTTTGTCAATCCAATCCGAAATATTATCTACTACAACTAAAATCAACCATTCCACACAACACTTTATCACCTCCTTTATCTTGTCTTGTATAGATGCACTTCTTAAAAATATGATCTCTTTCAGTCTATTTAATAATTCACTAAAGTTCACTTCCTTTTTCGGGAGTGTCTTAGCCTCCAAATGGACCATTGTTGGTGTATCCATGGAATTAGCGTGGCGTTCAGGGGAGACAGCTCTCCTGGCGCCTAGCCACGGTGTCTTCTTGATCCGGAGGTTATGTTTCGGTTCCGATTCGCTATGTACTATTGCCTCAGTCTTAACCACCTGAGCAAACGTAACCTGGTCATGTTCGCGGCCCTGGTTATATGGGGTAGACTGAGCTTGCGGAGCTTCCGACCTTAAAACGGTTATTTTACTGTTCGAGGTGTTTGTCTCTTGCACCGGAGAGCTAGGTGTTACAATAATTGTAAGCGCTTTTCTATATGTACAGTTAAACTCTGCCATCAATTCCGTCAGTCTTTTTTCTCGCTGATATGCTGGGCAGGTCCTGGCCAACGACATGTGATTACATGTACAATTAACACATTTGTAGGTATTTATATTATTACAATTTTCATGGTTTTCGCCGCACTTAGGACACACTACTTTGTTATATGGGCATTTTTAATTGTATGACCTAATTTCTAACAGCGCAAAAACTGTGACACCGGCAACACATATGGATCCACTTTAATCCACAAACCCTCAACGTGTACGTATGCTGGTAGAAACGATCCCTTGAAACAAAGTTGTATTGATTCACTAGGAACCCAACCACTTCCTGTTACACTTCGTCTTTGCAGTCGCTTGATGGAAAGAAGTTCTGCATTGTTGGGACATGAAATGTTCTTAAGTATTTCCTTATCACCTAGTTCCATATCAACATCCCTAATAACCCCATATGAAACGCTTTTTTCCATAGCTTTTTGAACTTTCCAACCTCTTTCAATCAACGCTTTATATGTTTTCAACTTGGTTACACTCTTCTCATTAGTAATATCTAAACGCACTTTGTACGGGTTTAAATATTTAACTCTAGATATGTCTAAAATTTGTTGCTCCTTCAACACCCTAGCTAAGCCAAATTGCTTAGGTAACTTCTCATTACTTGAAATATACACTTCAATTTTATTTTGCCCAACTTTAACAATCTTTTCTTTTTTCTTTACCAACATCCACACATCCCTGTTTCTTTTACTTTTACCTATATTACTACACTCGCTATCCATCTGTACCTGAGATATTATTTCATCATCGTACTGGTCCAATTCAAATTCCGATTTATTTAACTCCATATTAGGACTGCTACTCGACGTCCGCAGTACATCAGCGCTAAATTCATTACGCACAGTATACTCGTCCATTATATTAACAGACCTAACGTCCGGCACTTAGATAAAATGCATCGCTGCAGTTAACAGCAAACCGGTTTGGCACGCCGCGACACAGCGCGTAATCGCGCGAAGTATAGATCGTTGATTCACTTAACGTAAACAACTTAACGCACAGTATAAACAACTCCCTCGTACGCTTACCGACACAAGAATGATCTTATTACTTATTGTCTATAAAATAGGAGCGAAACTTCTCGTCCACTTAAATATCTTTGTACAATGTGTTCCCTGTAAATATACTCGTAAAACTATGCATTGAAAATCCCTGAAACTTATATAGCAAATACATTAAGCAATATTCGCCACAAACTGAAGTCCACTCATTCTGAATCCTATCAATATTCCAGTTCCATCTTTTACAATTCCTTTTTAAAAACTCTAGATGATATCATACAGGTGATCGTCCATATGAATCAAAATATTGACCGACGTCGTTCGTATCGATATATAAAGCTACCCAATATGACCCTGGTTTATCATCTGTATCCAAATTGCATATTATATACCTTGGTACGTGGGTATACATGGGCAGTCTATTAGCAGCATAAACATTATTTTCTAGACTGGGGTGAATCTTTATCAGATGTTGTTGTACATCTCGCTCTATATAATCTACTCAACGACTATCATAGGAATGATCAATTACAGTGATTTCTAAATATTAAATTGCATTCTTTTGTTGAGTCATCGATACACTGAACAAGACGCAATACGAAGGAAAGTTGAGAAAAGCAACAGAATGTGAGATAAGCTTGTTGACGCATAAAGTTACTCGTACTATCAGTTCCACTGCAGAAATTCTTTAGATTAGAATTATTTCTTACCGTTACTATATAAGACCGAGCAGATGCAGTCATGGAGTTAGTGTATGGTCGTTTGACCGCAGTGGATCTATCAATACTACATTTGTGTTACTTCAACGCATCAAAGGCCATGTATGTAAGTGTTTATTCTATGGACAAACTTACTTTTCTTTCTGTTATTTTCTTACGTGTGTATGATTTAGTGGTAACAAATTATATTTAAATATTATGTTTGTATATGATTAAGCCGTGGTAGCTCAGATGTTAGCGCAAGCTGTAAATTTCACAGTACGCGACCAGGGTTCGATCTCCGCCGGCACCAATTAAATTGTTAATTGCAATTTTAAGTGCTGATTTACCACGTGCTCAGCGGTAAAGGAAAACATCGTGAGGAAACCTGCATGTCTGAGAAAATTTCGAAGGCATGTGAAGTTCGCCAACACGCATTGAGGCAGCGCGGCGGACATTTCCTAGCCCTGAATACAAAGACAATTGCAGAAAGTGAAAAAGTTAAAAAATACTTTTTAACAATGACAGTCATTAGTTGATCATTAGTGAATGTGATTCTGTTTGCTTAAATTACAAGAAGACACGAGCAGAAGGAAGAGATGGGATGATTGGAAGTAATGAAGCATTTTTATGTAAAGTTTGTTGGAACAAACATATTTTTAGTCACGTGTAAATACTTTTAACTTTTTGGTTCAAAATGACACAAAATCTAAAAAATATTAGATACATCATCGACATGGACGGATTTTACATTACATATCCTCATAAACATTTTCAATGTAGAGAAATGGCTATTCTAGACGTAAAACTATCTAATAAAAATTATGCGTTTATCGATCATTATTTGTTTCGGCCAAGTTATCCTTTCATTTATTTGTTGCCAAAAGACAAAAAAAACTGTTCGTTATTGCGAAACACACGTGCACGGCATTCCATATTTTGACGTGACCGAAGAATTAAAATGTGCCTACAAACAAGAGAACATCATTCCCATATTAAATTGGTACATTAGAAATTTGTGCAAAGACGAAGTGATCGCATACAAAGGTGGTTGAGCAGAAAAACAATTTTTAAAAATGTTGACGATGAATGATAGAATTTTTAATATTGAAGAATACAAATGTCCAAAATACAATGATTATGTGTGTAATAATCATATATTTGCAAAAAATAATCACAAAATTTTACATTGTTCTTGTGATGAAGTGTGGGTTTTTTACAAGTGGTTATTGCTTGAAAATGAAATTTTAAATTAATTATAAATTTTGTTTGATTTCCTAAAAACATTCATTATAGTACACAATATATATATATTAATTGTTTACCTACACCAACACTTTAATTTTTTGTTTCACCCTTACACCCTTAGACGTGTGTAATGTTTCACTTTATACATCCGTTTACTGCTATTGTGGCAGGACCAAATGGATGTGGGAAGTCAAATTTTGTAACAAATTTCATAAAATCTGTTACAGAAATATGTAATTGTGATTTTAATCAGATCACATGGTGCTTTGATGAAATGCAACCTTTATATAATTTACCATATGTTAACTGTCATCAAGGAATTCCAGATCTTAATATGTTTGATGGTGAAAACCCACATCTTGTTATTATTGATGATCTAATGAGAGAGTCCGATGTAACTTTAAACTCGAACAGTGTTTTGTATTAGATTAAATAGAAGATTTATAAAGAAATAAAAAATAATATATTGCAAACAAATTGTTTTATTTAATTTTATAACGTTTCACATAGTTACATACACACAAAATGTATTACACATAACACATAAAATCTAACACACAACACATATTATAACCTTAACTACTATAGTCTACAGTAACATTTCTGTTTTTATCTATCTCAATAATATTATCAAACTCAGCATAAACTATACAGTTAATGTAAAGTATGTATGTATGTAATGTAAAGTACATAGTTTGTACTTTGTTCGTGTTTTACTTTAGTTCATGTATTGTATTGGATGTAAATATTTTTTTCTTTCGCTTAAACAAACCCAAACGGCTTTCTTTAAAGCCACCGAAGCTATGCAATTGCTGATATGTAATACAATCTATCGAGCAGTGGTATGCCTTCTGTGTGCTTTGTTAAACACGTCCTTGACAGCACTGAATATGAAACTGAAGCGTGGAGACAGATCAAGATTGGTGTATTTTTATAAAACTGCTAAAAACAACAATCCATATTTTTATCAATTTATATCTTGGGCTTGCCCTAGCTTGGAGCTCTAGCTTCGCCACTGCACGCTCTCACAGAATACCAGCGTAAAATGCCACTGCTGCTGTGTTTCGTATGGTGAGTGTAAAGAACCGGAGACCCATTTTATTGGAAACGGGGCATTCCATCTTAGTCCTCACAACAACAACGCATCTGCATTTTGATTCGTAATCGAGAATAGATGAAAATATCTATAGGCCATAGCAACCACTTACCATCAGATGGATTGTGTGCTCGTTTGTCACCCTTATCCTATAAAAAATCGAGGATAGATGTAGATTTCTATGGGCTACAGTCACACTTACCATCAGATGGACTGTATGCAAGCTTATCACTCTCATTCTATAAAAAGACGTATATTAATTAAGTAAGGTAACCTAAATTCTAGTGATAAAGTGTTACAAGGTATTTGAAAAATAAAACCAATTTTGGAATAATTAAATAGAAGAAACTGATTTCAAAATGTAAACAACAAAAATGCTAGTTAACGTCAATATTAAAAAAAATAACGGAACGGTTGCAAAATTTTTACACAATCCAAACAGGTATTATGATTACCGAATACTTTTAAACACGAGAAGAATCCGAGAAAAAATATTTAAACTCAGATCGGCTCGACCTTGTTTTATGACATTCCTTGTCCCATGTTCTTAATATTATATACCATAATACCATTTAGTAATATAGTTTATTGCAGTAGTTGTTAATTTCAATTTTAATTGTTCATCAACTTGGTGCTCGACGATGATGGTGAACATGTACTTATGTCTTATAGCGTTTGAACTTTTCTTGCCCTAAAATCTTCTTAGAAATAGGAGGAACCCTGTAGGGTTGTAATATTTCTGGTTAAGGTTCCCTGAGGAACATGAACCTCTATATTAATAACTTGCCTTTTCATGTGTTGATCAATCACTATAGTATTATTTGCTGATGATACCTATTTAATTTTCAAACTTAAACGACAGTTATTAATTTTGTCAATGTAAATAATGCTCTATCGAAATTAACTGCAATAAGACAAAATGTATTAAATTTACAATACCCAATGTTAAACATTCAAATACTTATGTGCTCTTAAATGAGGAAGAGTTGAGTCTTGTTGATACCACTTTTCTTGGTATTACTATTGACGCGAAGCTTCAATGGGGCTCTCATATATCTCAACTAGCAGGCAGACTTAGTTCTTTTTTTTATAGGAAAAGGGTGACAAGCGAGCACACAGTCCACCTGATGGTAAGTGGTTGTTGTGGCCCATAGACATCTACATCTATCCTCGTTTGCGAATCAAAATGAAGATGCGTCGTCACCCCTGAGGACTAAGATGAAATACCCATTTTCCAGTAAGAAGGGGTATCCGGTTCTCTACACTCACCATACGAAACACTACAACACACAAAATAATATTTAAAATGAGAAGTTTCACAGCTAGATTAGTTTATTTTAGTTACTTTCATAGCGCAACGATTTATGAAATCTTGCTATGGGGTAATGCGACTGACATTGAAGTCATATTTGTTTTATGTTTGTTTTGCAAAAGAGAGCCGTACGGGCGATTTATAACTTAAATTGTAGAGTCCCTTAGAGAAAATTTTAAAGAAAAAAATATATTAGCCTTGGCATCGCAATATTGCGATGCCAAAGCTAATCAGGTGAGCCGTATGCTCGTTTGCCCCTCTCCTATAAAAAATGCCCCCTCTCCTATAAAAAATTATTTATGAAAATGTGATATATGTACATAAAAACACAAAATTAGTAATTCATTTATGTGGCAATGTATACGTTTTTACAACAATATCCCAGAAAATGTACAAAGTTTGTCATTTAATACGTTTAAATGTTTTATTAAAG